AAATCATATTTGGCTGTTTTGATATGGTTTTTAATGAGAATTGCATTTCCTCCACCTCTATTATGTCTTCTGTCTTTTCTGTAGATGCGGTAGCCTTGTATTTTAAATTTGTTACAAGAGCGGAGATGGGTTTCATTTACTAGCATAACATCAATGTTATGTCTAGTAAGAAAAATTGAAATTTCCACTTGTTGGTATCTGATGCCATTTGCATTATAGTAACAAATCTTTAAGAAGCTATTTGTAGCTGAGATAAAATTTATTTGACTATGAGTTTGATTAAAATTCATAGTTTAGATTTGAGAAATATTCGAAGGCCTCTAGTTTGTCAAATATTGTTTTTGTAAATTTCTGGAAGAATTCTTTAACTTGAGTGAATTGGATTTTTATCCAGTTAAAAAAGCCAAGTGTGTTTGAGTTTGTGTCTTCTGTTTTGTTAGTGTTTTCATTTTCCTTGGAAGTATTCCAGGCATTTTTTGGTTTGTTCTCAGGGAGTGAAGGAAAATCCTTTTTGTTAAATTTAAATTGTTCTTTTTTCTTTTCTTCTTTTAAAGCTTTAAATTCTTCGATTTGCTTCTGAACATTATAAGGATGTTTACTGCAACCCTTGAAGGAAGAAATGTGATTTTGCCCACAGAGGGCACAGACAGGGAGTTTGTTGTCATTTTTTGTTTGTTTACAACTGAATGTTTCATGAGATTCTGCACATTTTAAACAGCGAAGTTTATAGTGACATTTGTGCCATGTGTGCCGTACCTTTGGCACTTATGGCACTACACGGGTCCAGGGCGAGCTTTAAAAGGCTCGATAAAGACATCCAGACCTCTGAGTTTCTTTAGATCATATATTCTTTTACCTTCTTTATTTCTAGTACATTCTGCTATAAAAATATTAAGATGAACTTTCTTTCCTTCAATAGTGTAAATTACTTGTCGAATTTTTTTAATTGGGATACCTTCTTGGGCAATTTCGTTTTTGATTAGTTCCATATTAGCTGTTTTTGGAAGTTTTTTAATTATTGTCTTGATAGGCTTTTCACTGTTGAGTTTAAAAGTATGAAGAGAAATATGTAGTTTAGTTAGGTATTCAGTAACTGTGCGGTAGTGGTCTGAGTCATAAACTCTTATGGTCAGTGTACCTCCACTTAAGTTTCCACGATATTTTTTGATATTTAATTGCTCTTCAAAATCTTCTTTCATCTTATCCCAATCCCCCGTGAAGTCTGCTAAGACTATAGGGGGATTGTGTCCTGCTTTTTTGTTGGGTGTAATAAATTCACCTTCCTCTGCTTCCATATTGTCTTCAGGGTTTAGTTCCTCGAATTTATTTTTTTGAGCTGGTTCTTCAATTTCGGAATTTGATAGAATTCTTTTATGAGTTTTTCTAGGGGTTATGTATCCTTCTTTATCTATTGTGGTTTTCTTTTTGATTCTAGATTTTTGACAAGCAGTAATATCAGATTGATTTGTTTCCTCTGTTGGATTATTTAGGGTTTCTTTTTGTTCCATTTCATTAATGTATAATTCTAAGATTTGTATATCCTTTTCCTTAGCATTGATTTGGGCTAAGTGAACTTCAGTCGCATTGTTTGGATTAAATGAATTTTGATAAGCATGAAACTCAGAAAGCATAAGTTGCTTACGTTTTCTAAGTTATCGCAGGTAACTTCCAGATTTCTGTGATCACACACAGATTTGATACGGTTTTAGATTGCCTCCTTGTCCATGATATGCATGAATCCTAACTTTTAAACTAATGGTGAAAAGAATAAAGAAAACATACTCATCGTGAACATCAAGAAGAGACGACAGCAACTCAGGATCAGCTTCAGTGGTGAGAGCAATGTGTTTTCCCTAAGGAGGAGAGATGATGCAGAAAAAAGGGTTACAATTGGTCATATTTTCCAACAGTTTGTGTTCTTAGAAATTCGTTACGCTTCTAAGTTCCTTGCATGATTTGTTAGAAATTCAGTCATGTCATTCAATTTGGGAACATTCATTTTCTTACCAAATTCATGTTCAAACCATATTTTTTAGTTTTTGCAACAAGACATGCACAAACATTGCATCAGCGAACCCATCAATCTCATGTTCTAAAATTTCTAACTAATATACATCTAAAAGTAATGTCAACTAAATTTAGCAAAGCACTAGCAGATTCACTGTGAATAGATGAAATTTACATAAATCGCTTAATGTGATCAAAATTCTGTTCTCTATGATTTGAAAATCTTTCTTCCAGCAGTGACTAAACAACTACATAATTTTGATCTGAAATTGCAATGCCTTTAATGGCTGATAATAAATATTGGAGCTTTTGCCCTTCTGACAAATTATGATCGTTATGCATAGCAGCTTTAAATAAATCATTAAAAGCTATCCATTCATAAACATTGCCATTAAATGTAGGTAAACTCAATATTAGAAGCTTTACAACTACGCCCATTTTAGAAAAGTTATCAACACTTATTTTACCCTGTTCATTCTCAGTACTTTTAGCAGAATTTTTCACATTTAATTTATGAGAACGTTTTTAATCTGACTTTTTCCAGATGAATCTCAATGTCTTCTGAATCTGATTTTGCTTCCCTAATATCCACTTTTACAGGTAATTTAAAGTAATACTTTTGTAATTCAGCTATACATCCTTTCACGGTGCACACAGTTTCTAATTTAACTTCTAATTTGGTTGTAATATCTTCACTTATTGGTTCAGCCACAGATTTTATAAAAGTTTCTAAATGATGTTTTACCCATTAGTGTGGCTTTTTCATGCTTTAAAGCAGTGGTTCTTAACCGGGGGTAATGTATTTTTGGGGGTGCAGGAGAAGCTCCTACCTAATCATAAAAATTATTAAATATCATTTATTAAATTTCTTATAATAAAATATTTGAAATTTGCAATAGTGTCCCCAATATTGAAGCTCATAAAAATTGGTAGCTGTATAGCTGAATTACCTAGCTCGCTTATCGGCAAAAGACTCAGGAAAGAGCCGGTGCCGATGGGCATATACACTATGCTACGAAAAGGCATGAAACGCTGCAAACGAAAGCAAACAGGCAGCTAGGTGACGGAGAAAAGAAAAAAAAACTTTGTGGGAATACAAGCGGAGAACGTTATCCCAGCTTGCACATGCGCTGAGTTCAATATGTGCTACTCCAGTGGAAACTACGGATTCACAGATTTGTATCTGCATCTACTGCGCCTGTGTTAGGTTGAGTCAAGTTGAGTCAACTATTGTGTCTGCGGCATGTGTATTGTGTATTCTGACTTGTCCAGAAACCTCTTGAGACTAATACATTCTTAATTGGCCGTTCAAGCCGAATAGGATTCAGTGATATTACAAACGTAAGAAAATTATATATATTATATTATTACATTATTTCTAAATATAAATAATAAATCGATTATAGTGAACCCCACTATGTCAAAAAAAAAAAAAAAAAGACAATGGAACGATAAGTATGCTGGTTATGGATTTACCTACACAACCGAAAAAGATGGCATGCAACGACCGCAATGAATCTTGTGTTCCAATATATTTTCAAACAGCAATCTCAAACCATCAAAGTTATTAGAGCATTTCAACAATCTGCATGGTGGCGAAAAAGCACATAGCATCGACAGCTTGAAGTCAAAGAAGGCTCTGTTTGATATCAGTGGAACTATCCTAAAATTGTGCGGACCAGCAATTCAAAAACCTTTATTAGAAGCGTCAAATCAAAAGGCATATTTATGTGCAAAAAAAAAAAAAAAAAAAAAAAAAAAAAAAAAAAAAAAAACCTCACACGATCGCTGAAGAGTTGATTAAACCTTCTGCTTTAATTATTGCTAAAACAGTTTTAGATTCAGAAGCACATAAAAAAATCCATCAGATTCCGTTATCGAATGATATTATACAATCACAAATACAAAATCTCAGTGAAGATATTTTAATGCAAATAATTGAAGACATAAAAATCAGTCCACTAAAAATAAGCATGCAACTGTATGAGTCATCTGATGTTGATAATTGTAGCCAACTTTTGGTATTTGTCAGGTATGTGAAGGAAAAAGAGGTGATAGAAGAATTTCTATTTTGTGAGCCACTGGAGGTGAATATGAGAGGAATTGATGTTTTCAATCGCATCAAAGATTTTTTTACTAAATATCAATTACCAATGAATGTGATTGGTTCAATATGCACTGATGGAGCCCAAGCAATGTTTGGCAAAAATTCAGGATTTTTTTCACGCATGCACATGAAAAGAGAATTACCGGAAGTTATAATAACGCATTGCATGTTGCATCGTCATGCACTTGTGCCGAAAGTATTGCCAGAAAGTTTACCCTTTGCTACCACCTACTTGTGCAAAATGGGATTTTCATCGCTTTTGCATATAAAAACTAAAGCGTGAAATCTCATAAATGCAAGTGATGACTTACGCGCATGTCTTTCAAAAACCAGTATAATAATGAACAAACAACAACAGACTAATCATTAATAAAAATAATATTGTTTTGTATTTATATAAAATGTGCAATGTTTTTCAATAAACAGTAAGTTTCGCAAAAAATTTATTTTTCTAGACTAAAAAAATTAAAACACATTTTCAGTGGGGTGCGGAGATATATTTTCAGATTCAATGGGGTGTGACTCGCTAGAAAGGTTAAGAATCACTTAACGGATAAATTTTTCTTCCATTGTTCTGAACACCATTAATGCAACATAAATGTTTTGGAAGAAAAGTACAGTTTTGATTTTAACACGTTCACTGTTTGCTGATTCGCTTTTAATTTTCGGCAGGGCGAGCCATAAAGATTCAACATAACTCACTGAATAAATCTCAAAACACATTATAAAGTTAGGACTGTATCTTTCATTTCACAACTGTAGCAATTTTTCAACACTCATGCCACAATGGGGGGGATTACAATCACTTGCCAGGCTGGAACATATACTGGGTTTTGTCCCTTTTTTTCACAGCAGTGTCCTCTCATGTATTTTCTACTTTTTGCAGTTCATAAATCAGGGAGATGTGACTGAACAACTTGATTCCAAACAGATATTTTAGGACTACGAAGGTAAGATGTTATGATTCAATCCACATCATTTACACATTTTTGGTCATCCCATACTTTTCTCTTTACAAACACATCTGGTTGTTTCACATTGCCTATTCCATAGTGGATGTTTTTGCCTCATGGAGGATCACAATTAAATTTCAAACAAAATTCTGCAAGTGAGAAAACAACAAAGCAGTACTCACACATGCTTTTACCTAAAACTATTTGAGTTACTCTTTAATTGTGACCTTGAATCACATTCTACAACACTTACAATTGATACTGTTAAAATTTATAACTGAGATATTCTTTTATGGGTATAATGTATATCAACAAACTAGAATTTTGTGCAGCAATTTAATACAAGCATTTTGAATTTATAAAAAATGAAGATCTTGGAAAGATATGAAGCTATTATTTAATATGAAGTTTATATCATATGAAGTTTTTTTTTCAGTGTTGTTTACTTCCATGTAGAAAATAAAGGGAATATCATAATTGCGAAAAATTTCGAGTACCATATTTCAATGAAAGTGTCCATTTTGACAGCTCTCAAATCCATTTTAACAAAGATTTTGTACAACGTCTGTATGTACGGACAGAATAAAGGACTCCATTTTTCAAAATGGATTGTAAAATATATTTTAAATGGCATTAAGTCAAATGAGGTTGTCATTTGTTTACATTCGAAACTCTTATAAAATAATGAATTAAGTCGGTACACCAACCTTGTATTTTTACCCAGTGTGACCAAAAATTAACTTTCAATTTTGTGGACCAAAAACTTTTGTCTTCCTACCTGCTAGCTGCATTGTTTATTTTTGCATAGAAACTAATTTTAATTGTAAAAAAATATATATATATATATAAATTGACTGCATTTAATATTTTAGGCTTTTCTATATTTTGCAGTTTTTAATGAAGATTGAGTTATTATGAATTTTTGCCTTGCCGCAAAGTGAGAACTGAATTGATTGAATTAGAGATGTATCTCTAATGAAATCCATTTAAAGAAATGAGTTTAAATGAAGTGTAGCAAAAAATGTATATAATTTAATAGGCTGCAAAGGGAAGTCTTGGTGTCCAGCTCAGATATTTTTTCCCTGTTATTGAGGGGCAATTTCTGATTATCTTCATCTTCACACAAAGTTGCCATTTCATTGACGATTTTGCTTGTGTCGCTAAATTTTTAGCTCATAGGTACTGTTCTGTTTGTAAATAATACCATAAAAAGGCATTTTATAATAAAAAAATTTTTTGATAAAAAATAGTCTTTAATCCCAATATTTACATTTTTTTATAACCAGTAAATATTATTCAGTGAAATGACATTTAAATGTAAAGCATATATATATCATATATCCACATGCACTCAAACATGTGTAGTATGCGCAGATATAAGTTGGTTGTCCTCTCATGTATACTCAAATATATGCCAAAAATATAAGTTTTACAACATGTTGAAATGAAGGTAGGAATAATCAGAAAGCACGTACTGAATTTAAAATTTTTGATTTTTCAAGCATAGGCTAAGCAATTTTGTGCAGTGAATTAATTTAAATTTTTGATTTTTACTTATTGTTTATTTTGCTCCATAGATTCTCAGAAATCTCACTTTCGTGAATTTGAGTTACAATCAACTTGAACATTTGCCAGTTTTTAATACAGCTACTTGCCGCTGCTTAACAAAATTATATGTACGAAATAACAATCTTGAAGATCTTGAAGGTAATTCAAATCTTTTCATTTTTAATATTTTTTTAAATGCTTCATTTTTTTATTTAATTGCTGAATCATTTATGTAATGCATGGTTTTTCATTATTTTTCTATAATAATTAACTTAATTGATTGTTTATGTTACATGTGGTTCGTATAACCTTTCTAATGTAATTGTAAAGCCTTATGTATTGTTGATATAGTTTATTGTTTATCAGTAATTAAAGAGCTTATTCATTAATAAGTTTTGCCAAATTTGTGTATTTATATTCATAATAATTTTTATTAGAAATAAATCTGAAGCAGTATGCAATTTTAATAATTTGATTTATGAATACTGAACATGTTAATATGAGTAAACAGTTATAAATGTAGTTAATTGGTCATTCAGATACTAGATTACTTTTTTTAGTTAGTTGGATTTTTTATATTGACTAACATCTAATTCGTTTAATTGCAGTATAGTCTGTTTGTTAAGTCATTTTGAGATGCTGATTCTAGTTACCAAAATCACATTTTTCTTGCATGGGGAACACAATTTTTTTTTAGAGAAAAAGGGTTATGCTTTCATCTAATTTTTTTATAGTTCACCCTCTGTAGACACTTATCAAACCGCATAAAATCTGTCAAATGAAAATAACAAAACGAAGGTGAAGTATACATTCTCTCTAGGAAGTAAGTGTGTAAGTTCTGTGTGGTTCTTATTGCAGTCCCCTCACATCACTCTCTATAGAGAAAGAATTTGCTTCAGATATTGCAATAATAGATTATTACATTGTCGCTTCAAGAAGGACTTGCTAGTTGTGACTGTTATGATTATTTACTGTTTCAGCAATGGGCACATGAGTGGTAGGAGTTCAGTCAATAAACAGTTTCATTACTTTATTTCTCAAAGAATAGCCCCAAAATTTGGTTTGGTTTATTTGATTATTGCAAAGCACTCGATTGCTCGCTGCCTAACGAAAAGATGCCTTTGTGGAAGACTTATGGAAAACTGGCTTAAATATAAGTTAAACCCTAGAATGAATTCTAGGGTATGAACCCTAGAATTTACAGCTTTAGTTCTTGCAAACAAATTTTAAGCAAAAGATGTGCTGAATTTATATTTATGAAAATGACTTAAAAATGCGTATATGGACATAGGATGAAAATCAGCTGAAAAAATATAAAAGGTGTTGAATATTAAAATAGTACGAGTATTTGCCAAGAACCATGATAGTTGTATATCAACTTTGAATAATATTAATGCATTAAAAGAGAATCTCCATGTTTTTGTATGAACAGCAGTTGAAGAAAAGAAGAAATTGTTTCAAAAGGCTAAATTAAAAAAAAAAGTTGAATGTTTGCTTCTTCAAAGTGAATCTTTGCGAGATCTTTGGCAGTGGCAAAGCTGAATATGTGTCCAAAAGAAAAAGCATTTGAAACAGCAAAAGAATTTGAAGACCAAGAAATTTTATAAATCAGTGATTAGTATTTGAAACAGGAAAAGAATTTGAAGAACAAGACATTTTAGAAAGCAATTGTTAGATTTAATGATTCAAAGAAGATATATTTTTCTTTAAATAGAAATTGTAAAGATGGTGGATATTGCTTCTGCAGAAGAGTAAAAAAGCTGTATTATGATAGGTGTTTTCCATAAGTATCAACTTTCAAATGTTTATAATCTAGATGTATTGAGGCTTTACCTCCATTTAAAAAAAAATATTATCATTCTACTTCAAAAATGCTAGTGGCAGAAAGAGCAAAGATTAAATAACTATATTATTAGATGTAAACATGACAGGTATTAATAAACTGAAGCCTTTTCTCATTGGCAAATATTTGGTGCCAAGTTTATTTAAGAAAGCTAATATGAAATGTCTACTTATTACATCCTGAACTAAATCTTAAAAGCATAGATGTTTTATGCATTTAGGCTGAGAGAAGTGAATGAATTAGATAATCAGTTTCAAAAGAAGCAAAAAGAAGTTTTGTTTGTTGATAAGTATGCCTATACAGATGATAAGAGATTAAAAGCAATTAAGCTGATACACAGTCCAGTCACATTAATGTGACCATCTATCAAAAGCCAGAATAACCACCTTTCGCAGAGCGGACTGCTGCGAGACGTGCAGGAAGAGAGTCACATAGGTCCCTGAAGGTGCTCTCTGGGATGTTGAGCCATGCTGACTCTAATGCCGTGGCCAGCTGCGCTAGATTACGCGGTTGAGGATCCATGGCGCGAACAACTCGATCTAGATGGTCCCACAGATGCTCGATTGGGTTTAAGTCAGGTGAGTTTGCTGGCCAGGGGAGGACGGTAAACTCATCCTGGTGCTCTTCGAACCACGCACGTACACTGGCAGCTGTATGGCACCTCGCATTGTCCTGCTGGAAGATGCCATCATCCTGAGGAAAAACAATGCGCATGTAGGGGTGAACATGGTCTGCAAGGACAGATGCGTACTTGTATTGATCCATTGTGCCTTCCACAATGATCCGTGAACCTAGAGAATGCCAGGAAAACATTCCCCAGACCATAATGCTCCCGCCTCCAGCTTGGACCGTTCCGGAAATGGTTGCAGGGTGGTTCCTTTCAGAGGTTTCACGCCTTATACGCCAACGTCCATCTGTCCGATGGAGCATAAAACGCGATTCATCTGAAAACGAAACCTGTCGCCACTCAGTGGACGTCCAACTGCTGTACTGGCGTGCAAATTCTAGCCTTCGCCGTCGATGAACAGCAGTCAGCATAGGTGCACGAACCAGGCGTCTGCTTCGGAGGCCCAGACGCAGAAATGTTCGCTGAATAGTACTTTGGGAGACACTTTTGGTAGCCCCTTGGTTCATTTTGGTGGTCAGTTGCTCAACGGTAGCCTGTCTATCTGCCCGAACGCATCTCCGCAACCGTTGTTCGCCTCTGTCATCTATGGCCCGTGGTGCACCACATTTGCCACGTCGCTGATTTTGGACAGTCCCATTTTGCCATGCACGGTACACTTTTACCACGGCGGCACGCGAACAGTTCACAAACTCAGCCGTTTCGGAAATGCTTCCACCCTTGGCCCGAAAGCCAATGATCATGCCCTTTTGGAAGTCGGATAAATCGCTTCGTTTCTGCATTACGCCAACGATTGAAATGTTTTCCGAAGCCCTCACACACCCTTTATATACGCTCAACTGCACTGTGCTGCCACCTGCCTTCTGTGATTATTTATTTAACTCTGACATGGAAAGTACGTGGTCGTCACATTAATGTGACTGGACTGTGTATTATACCCCTAAATGTCATATCAAGTCTGCATTTCTGGATAAAGGAAATCTTGAATTGCAAGTGTCTTTTTCAAAAGCTTCTAGTCAAAGACATCATTGACAAATGAAATTTCAAATTTCAGGTTTGGATGCCATTTATTAAATTTTCAAGAATTAAATGATGTCTTCCAAAAATGTGTTGAAAATTACTTCAAAACTGCTGGATGTTGTTGCTGTAGACATTGCATTGAAAGCCAATGATAAGATTGCTGTAGAAGATAATGGTCTACATGGCATAGCTTGTAGAGGAAGTGGCTTAAAAATGTGTATATGGACATAGGATATGTCTACAGAGGGTGGCTATGAACAGCAAGGAAGTTTCTCAAAAAGCATCTGTCAAAAAGGATATTTTTAAGAATTTGAAATCTTTTCAAAAAGTGTATTTCATCTATTGAAGTCAGTTTTATAGATAAGTTTTTCTTGATTCTGAGGGTGATTTCTCAGAGATTTGACTACATTAAAAAAATTCATTGAATCTCCACATGAGATAATTTTGCATCTGGGACTCTAATGAAGTTGAATCACAAAGTTGTCTTCCTTTTAATGCAGTTGTAGTTTTGAGATTTGATTCATATGATTCACATTTCTACAATGCTATTTATTTACATGTCCTCCCTTAATATATGTAAATTTAAGTGGATGAATCCATCTTGGTGATTTAAGTTCAGTTGTCATTAGTGTACTATGTTGAATTCACCAGTAGTAGTTTGGATAAGGCCTTTGAATTTGCATAGGGATATAATTAATAAATGTTAATAATTAATTTGTTATGGCATTAAATTGTGTCATAACAAATTAATCATGTATCTCCCTATTTAAAAGATAACCATTTAGAATAGTCCTTTATGCAAAAAATCTGTGTTTAAAATTCAGAGTCATATTTCTAATTTATTACTTTTTTGAAAAATTTTTGAAAAAATCAATATTCTCTTAATTTTAGAGTTTTGCAGTGCTTATTTAATGCTATATATAATTATTTATAGAAGTAATTTTGAATTTATAGGGCTAGAGTGTTTGTTTAATCTGGAAGAATTGGATGTGGGGTACAACTTACTGTCTGAATATCATGTTTTGAATCCTTTGATTAAGTTAGAATCTCTGAAAATGGTAAGTGAGTAGTGCTTATTTAAAAATGATTTGTAAATTTTCATTAAATTAGTGCCTTTAAAGCAATTAAAAGGCAATAGCTCCGAAAGATCGCAATATAATTCACAGTTTCTCAAATAACTCGATAACACTTTATAAAGTCAAGACTGTAGCTTTTTCACATTTCTAGAATTCTTTGAACCGTTACGCCACAGTGGCGGGAACTCACTCACTTCACCAAAGCGAGAACACACTCTGGGTTTTTCCCTTTTTGTGCAGCATTGCCCTCTGGAGGCGTTTTCTAAATTTTAAATTTCATATATCGGGGAGGTAAGACTGAACATCCTTCAACCCATTGAAATTGCAAATTTCAATATGAGAATATCACAACACATTTTGCAAAAATTGAATAACATATTACAATAATATTGTTTAACAACTTAAATGAAAATAGTTATAACATAATGAATACAACACAATTGCAACAATATGCCATATAGTTAGCTATTGGTTTGGCAAAATACATGTGCGATAGACTACTTCTTTTAAGAAATTTTCCATCTGGTAACCGTAAATTGACAACTCTTACCTTTACGTCCTTGCCTGGAAATATCTCAGCAGTTTTAGCAACCAACAATTTGATTGGTGGAAGATTTTCATTCTTTATGAGTACAGCAGTTCCAACATTAACATTATTTTTATCAAACTGCCACTTTGGTCTTTGATGTAAATTACTAAGATAATCTCGTCGCAACAACTGCCAAATTTTTTTAACATAATTATTTATTTTTAACACTTGGAAAGTCTGTTTTCAGGCATACCCATTAAATTAGGCTCAGGTATAGAGGTGATTTCTCTGCCGATCAAAAAGTGTCCAGGAGACAAAACTCTAAAATCATCAGGATCGGAAGACAGAGGAGAAAGTGGGCGTGAATTTAAAAACCCTTCGATTTGTATTACAATTGTTAAAAACTCCTCTACACTTAAATTAGTATTTCCCATGACATGTTTCAAATGGTATTTGAATGACTTCACGCCAGCCTCCCAAAGACCGCCAAAATTGGAAGCCTTGGGAGGATGAACTTCCAGTCAACACCTTCGAAAGATAAATATCTTAGAAGTTCATCAGGAGAATTCGCCATATTAAATAATATCTTTAACTATGGTTCCAGGCCTATAAATGTTTGTGTGTTATCCGTAAAAAGTTCTCTAGATTTGCGTCTTCGTGAAAAAAAGCTTTTAAGACAAAAAATAAAAGTTTGTATTGTTAGATCTGTTATGATTTCCAAATGAATTGCATGGGTTGCAAGGCAAACAAATACGGCAACATAAACTTTGTTAACACCAGAAAGACTGAAACTTAGTATATACCTATATTGCCCAAAAGCAGTCAAAATGACTGCATTGTGAAAGAATAACTAATATGTAAAAAAATTGGTTTAAAATTAATTTTCAATATTTTTATGTTATTTACAGTTATGTAACAAGTTATTAGTAAATATTAACAATAAAAAATTACTTAAAAAAATTATGCATTATTATTTGTACATTTTTTGCAAATGAAAGTGAAAATCTTTTTATGTGTACATCTTCTGCAAACATACTTTTCACATTTTTCACATGTATTATTTGTTTTGTTGTTGTGACAAAGTCGTATTTGACAAATTTTGCGTTTGTTAGAATGAGTTGCATTTGATGATGTTGCAGTTGATCTTCGTGGGTCTTCATGTTCTGATGACTTTTTCTGTCTTGCAGTTCTGTATTCAATGGAAAGCTGTTCTGCTAATTTAAACAATAACTCTTTTCGTTGTATTTGTATTCCTTTTGTTTCTTTGTAAAGGATCCAAGCGTTTATAGCAGCCAAACCTATCATATTGAAAAATATTTGGAGGGGCCATCTACGAGAACTAGCTTTTACTGTATATTTTCTGGCCATTTGATCCATCATATCAACTCCAAATTTTGTGCTGCTATAAAATTGAATAGATTCCGGTAACATTTTTTATTACTTTTTATCAATTTTCACAAATTTATACTTAGAACTTAGAACAGCTACTTTTTTTTTAAAATTTAGTTTGCTTTTATATATAATACAATTCTCTGATTTATATAGCAGAGTGAAAAAATTGTTATCCTTCATTTATTTGGCTGATTTGGGTAGTTCTCTTTTGTTTCCTCTAATAGTACTAACTAGAGTTTTTTTTTTTTTTTCCAATAACTTTGTCTCTGGTGACATGCTAGTGGAAAGTTGCCGGCCGTGATATTTCTTCCACAGCTTATATATGGCTTGACAAGTTTCAGAACAACGCATTCACTGAGATTCAAATAACAAGTACTACTTTAGCTTATTGAGAAACTGCAACTTATCAAAGTATACACCCATATCGACAATTTATCATGTACTTGTATGTTATCATGTGACGGTAATTGGAAAAAATGAAAACTGTTATTTCAATACAGAGCCGAACTGGTCATATAAGAAATTTACTCAATTCAATAATAAGAGTCATTTGATTATTTAAAATTTTTTAAACAGTCAAAATGACTGCTGTGGGGCAATATAGGTATAACACTTATATATACCGGAAATAAAACAAGGGGGAGTAACTACAATTATTAATAAACACATTTATATGTTGTACAAAAAGTCACAAAATTCTAAGAAATTGTGTCACTATATACATAATTGTTTTTCTAATTGAAATTAAAAAGCAGTCGGAATGACTTCCGCAATCTAGTGTTAAATACACACTTACGTTGGTTTTTCTGTTTCACAAGAAAGGGTCCACAAAATTCGATTCTTGTATCATTAAGTACTAAGTTAATTTTTATTAGCAATAATAAATGGCAATAAAATTTCATTTTTATGAAAATTGACAGGTGATACAGATTGTTGTTTTTTCTTCAGTGCAAAATTATTTTTTGTGATTTCTTTAAATGCTAAAAGACAAAATTCTTAGAATTATGTATTTTCTTTATGATTAATTATTAATTTTATTCTTCTGTCTTAAAATTTAGCTAAATCTGGAAGGTAATCCTTTATATTTTCATTGGCGTCATCAAGCTTTGGTTACCAATTATATTCATCGCTCTGTATTACACAGAGGTTTGCGTCTTAATGGAAAATATTTTGCTGTGCCAGGAAGTGAGGTAATATCAGGTATCTGTAATGATGGTTGTTTTTACATGTATATTTTGCCCTAAACTATATCTGTACAATTTTAATATTCTATCTATATAGTAGATTATTTAGTATCTATTTAGATATCTATATAGAACTACACTGTTAGTTAAAAGCTAAAGATAATATTTTTGTCATGATCAAAATTCTCCTTTTTTTTTAAAAAAAATTTTATTCTAACTTTTAATGTTCCTTGCATTTTGAAATTTTAGTTGGACTTATGCAGATGTTCTGAGCTAAGTAAGGTTTCACATAAGTAATGGTTTTTGTGCATATTTTTATTGAATTGTATGTTATTATGTTTAGCTGTGTGTCACTTAAAAAGGAAAAGCTACTTCGTGGACTTTGGCTAGATATCAGATATGTATTAAGGCCAATGAATGATTATTCTTCTATGTATTTGATATGTAATTCAGAAAGAGAATTTATCTTTTGCCAGTGCATTGTATTTGTATTTCCCTCTGCATATTGTATTAGCAAGGAAAATTATAAAACTTGCACATTTCTTGCTTTTTCCCTAAAGAAATTCAGTTGACAAATTTTATTTATTATAAACACACTAATTCTATTTGTTAGTGACTTTTTATCTGGAATTTGATCTTTGAGTATGTGCATTTCCGTAGCTTGCGTAATAAAATTTTCATAATAATGAATTTCGCATAAATTAAAAAACAGATAATAAAATAAAATAAAATAAAATAAAATTATAAGTAAATAATTGTTACAGATGTAAATAATTGTGTATTATGCATAATGTAAATAATTGTATATTATGCATAAATCTACAAAAGTTTATAATTTAAGTATTATTTCACTTCAAACTGTAAATTAATAGCTTTTGTATAAGATATGCACCCATTGCTGTAAAAGGAGCCTACCAGCAGCCGAGAGGTAAAGTCGCTGAATACTGGTTGTTCAACCAGCATTCGAATCCTGGCAAACAGGCTGGCTGCACGGACGTTTTCATGGTTTTACTCATGTGTAACGTGTATACGAGCCAATTTCCCTTAAAAAGTCCTCCACAAAGGCATCCTTCCTCTTAGATAGCCCTTGTATGCTGTGCCAGAATTAAGTAAACCAAACTTACCTATCACCATAAATGTTTATGCACCATGAAATAAGTATAGGTTCATAACAGCAACCGGGTATGGAAGTACATGTGAGGCAGATATGCTAATGATTACAAATGCAGCATGATTGTTCTTTGCATAATGCCAACAGAAAGCATTGAATTTCAATCTCCGTGGTGCATAAGAAAGGTATTTTGACTATGTTAAATTTGTTAGGAATGCTTTACTAAGAGCTAAGAGGAGTATCACATCACCTGACATGTGCACACATTATTAAATGTATCATTACTTGTCATATGGACATAGACAGCACTTTTGATAAGGGTCCCTGTGTCTGTCTGTCACATAGCAATGCACATGGACTGAAGAACATTTAATATTATAACACCCATTGTGTGTGCTGTTAGCACACCCACTATCCTTTCTATCTAGAGTGGTGTGATGCTCAGTGGGATTAAACCACAACTAAGTGGAATGTGGGCATCTTCAGTAATGAGTCAAAATTCAGTTTGGACTGTGTACAGTTGAATGCCTCAACCCTGCTTTGTTTCACAATGGCACACTGCTCTCATAGCTGGTGTGATGGGCCATCCATATCATACCTAGTCACCTCTAATGTTAATCCATGATGCTATTAGAGCTCAACAGTTTGTTCGTTATATCTTTCAGCTACATGTGCTGCTACCCAAGGCAGGGCTTTCAAGAGGCGTTTTTCAGTGTGACAATTTGACCACACACAGCAAGGGTAAAAAAAGAAGTCCTTTTACTTTATTACCAGCTATCCTTTAGCTTCCTGAAGTCCAGAATTGGTCTGTTGATTTTTCCACTAAATCCTATGTGATATATCTGACTTCGAATCTAAAATTTCTGAAGAACACAAAAACCTTGTCTAAAACTTAAAGGTTTATTTAACTGGAACTTCAACACTGATGAAAACTTAACATCATAAACGAAAACTTAACATCTTGGGCGGAAAACATTCAAAGTGCTTTAAAGTAACAGCTATGCCGGCACGGCAAAGAACACTTTCTTTTAAAAGACAAAATCCATCTAGCCCTTTCGGCATATATCTCCATTCGCTGGATTCAGACTTCTGCTCCTACGTGTTTTGGACTTAAACGGCCAGACTGGAACTGGAATAGGACTGGATCAGGACCGGATCAGGACCGGAACAGGACTGGAACAAGACGGGATCCGCAACAAGACGGGAACCGGAACAGGGCGGGAACCGGAATCTCTCATCCCCTGGCTTCTGCCCCGGGCAGGTCTATTCTGGCTCGAACTAAAATGAACTGCACGGTGCCACCTAAGGAAAAGCACCTCCTTTTATTGCCAGCGGTTGCCGTTACTACAGGCGATTATGCAAATATTTAACATCCTTCCACCTAAAGAGGAAAAAAAAAAAAAGTGAACTTCACATAACAACATAGTAAAAACAAATGCCAGAAGAGCCTTAATTAATATGCCAGTTCTGTCTGGCGGAATTTACAGTTCTACCAGATCGTGTTACAGGCCTGACTTACAGATTTATCACCTATGCTGAGTTTAAAGTTCAGACAACGAATCTTGTTTTTCATTCTGCAGCTTCACGGGTACATCCTCATTGTGCACTTACTCTCTAAAGGATACAAGAGTTTCGAACTGCTCTAAGCAAAATTCCATTTCCGAGTCTTTACTCTTGCAAGCCGATTTATTCCATCAGGTCCTGGAGGTAGTTCTATGACACGACCAAGTTGCCAAAAAAGTCTTTGTCACTACTACCGATCAAAACAATATCATCTAATTTAATAGTAACTTTCCTTTCAGCTCTTTTATGAGAAACCTTGAGAATTCCCAAATATTCTTTACGAAATCCATTTTTAAATGCTTCTCTTACAGTTTGAATATACTGAAATCTTCTTTGTAAATTACTTGATTTAATACCGTATTTTATATCCCACAAACTACTAGTTCTAATTTCTTTTAAAAAGTCGACAGGAGTTAAAGCTTTAAATTCAGGATCGGAAGGAATTACTGTCAACGGTCGGTCATTAAGAATCGCTTCACAGTCACACAGTATTGTGTACATTTCTTCATAATTTAAACAAGCATGTTTAAGAACTTTTTTAAGGACTTGCTTCATCATTCCGATCAGACGTTCCCACCAACCACCCCACCATGTAATGGTTTGATTTGACCAGGGGGAATAAATTTCCATGTTATTCGCTCATTGGCTGCCTGCCGATTAATTTGTTCAAAATCTATTAATTTGAATGCATTTGAAGCTCCTACAAAATTAGTTCCATTATCACTGTACACAGTTGTGGGTTTACCTCTTCGCGACACGAACCGATGAAAAGCCTGAAGAAAGAACACTTCTGTAGATAGAGAAGTCAGCAACTCCAAATGGACCGCTCTATAAACGGCCGCATGTAAAAAACACAAATCCATGCCTTTTCTTTGTTTCTCAACAATAAAGGACCACAAACGTAACTATGACCACCCGTAACTTGAAATACTGCTGAATCATTTACTTGCTCTATTGGCGGTGGGGCTGATATGTGGTCAACAGGTACAGCAGAATATCTCTTGCAATGTAATGCATTTACTCAAAACAGAACGCACAGTTCTTCTGGCCAGATAACAACCAAAACCTTTCCCTTAAGGTATTCAGTATATATTGTACACCTGCATGTCCTTTCTTTTTGTGTTCCTTCCTATAATTAAATTTATAACTAACGGATGTTCTCCTGGTAATATTATAGGTGTTCTGAAATTCTAACGTGTAATCTCTTCGAAATGCAACCAGTTTTAATTCTTAGAATTCCCAGCATCATAAAATGGACTAAGAGTTCGTAAGCGTGCGACTTCTATATCCTGAAACGATTCCGATTGAATCAAAGCAAATAACAACCTTTTCCGCAAAATCAATTTCATCAACAGTGAGTTTACCTTTCCTTTTTTTCCTTATTTCTGCAATTAAAGAAAAATTCGTTGAATCCAACCAACAACTCTCACTGTTTTTTGATAGCTAGAAAATCGTTTCACTCAAACCTATAGAGTTTTCAGTAGACACTAGAGATGAAACCACTGCACCTTTTTTTTCTCGCTGGCTATTTCCGCTTCATCAGTTATACGGATTTCGGCACTCGGCCAATTTTCTTGGGATTTTAAAAGCCAGCTCGGGACCCTCCCACCATTTTGTATTAGCTGAGAAGATGCTTGGCGAAACTGAACACCCTCTACTTGGAAGATCTGCAGGGTTAAAGTGACCAGGTATATGTCTCCAATCCTCCACATGTGTCAAAAGCCTTATTTCCTGTACTCTATTTTCTACAAATGTCCCCCATGGTTCTTCCCTTTTTATCCACAAGGACAATAGTTGAATCTGTCCAGAAAAATGTACTTCTGACCTCAAAGTCTTTTAGAACGTCTGCAGCAAGACGAGATGCAATAGTTGCTGCTAACAATTCTAATCTTACAATAGTCGTTTCCTTTTTATCACAAGGGGAAACTCTAGACCTAGCCTGAAGCAACTGGACTTTAACTGATTCAGGTTCTTCTACACGAATAAAAACTACTGCCACATACGCTGCTTGACTGGCGTCACAAAAAACATGGATTGAACACTGTTTTGGCTGATATCGTATCCACCTTGGAATTTTAATGTTTTTCAAAAGAGAAATGTTTTTTACCCATTTCAAAAATTTACTTTTAATTTCGGTGTTAACTTCTTCTTCCCATTTTACTTCTGTTTCCCATGTACGCTGTAATAACATCTTAGGTAATATAAGGACTGGACATGTTTTATACCGATGGGATCAAATACTTTATGGGCTATTGCCAAAATACTTCTTTTCGTAAACTTTCTTGAAACAAAGATTTGTAAATTAGCAACATTTATTTGAAGATTATCGCCT